CTTCATCACTGGAAGCTTTCAAGAAGAGACTGGACTACCATCTGTCAGAAATGGTGTAGGGTCTTCTCCTTAGGTGGGTGGGGGTTGGACTAGATGACCTACAAGGTCCCTTCCAACTCTGTTAATCTGTTAAAGTAGGATGGTCTCAATGCAAGTATACAGGGCCTTGGTAAGACACAAATCGAAGTGAGTTTATATTCTTAAAAGGTGGCCCTTTATTCAGTGCTGTATGAGGTTTATTTCACCAGAATTACCTTTCCCCTCACTTTGCAATTATCCAGTTGTCATTTCTAGTAACCACGTCAGTCAATTGGCAGAGATTTGGTGACAGGAAAGTTGTTATGTTGTAGGTCATGCAAAACAAAAAGAAAAGAAAGAAAAAGATACGTATTTGCAGCTGAAAATTAGGTTGAATCGTTCTGTAAAAAAAGACATTCTATTTTTAAATATTCCAACCCACCACAGAGAAACAGTGGTTTGTATCGACTTCCTCAGTTCAGGTAGCTTGAACTGTTAAAAGCCAGGAAAAAAACTTCATTACCTTTCTAATGAATGGTTAGATTCACACATTGTGCTAAGCCATGATTTGCTTGGTTTGGCTTAGCATATGTCATGTGAACCAAAGCTATTGTGGTTTGTGAACCAAAATTCATGGTTTAGCATGCCATTATTTGCAAGAGTGTCTTAACAGCATTATGGGTTTCAGGCAAAGCAGTGTACTGGGGCCCCTATGACAACTACTCACAGCAGTGGTGGGTTCCGGAGGCATCCACATGGACATGTGCAGTGTGCACATGCATCTTAGCACCTCCATGAGCCTCCGCAATACTCCAACTGCTCCGCGGATCATTGTGCAGCCACTGTACATGCTATGCGCATGCGCGGAAGCGCAGTAGCCTTAAAAGACAGGTAGGGAGCTCGGGCAGGTGGATGGGCCCTCCGCAGCACTGTACCGGAATGGTATCCAGGCAGGCTCCAGTATGCCCATACCAGGGCATACCGCCTGCAACCCATCGCTGACTCACAGGAATAAAAATGTAAATAGTCAATAAAATTAAACATATATTTATTTTATTGGCACTTCCAACAAAACCGGTGTTGAAACATTAAAAGCATGCTGTGCAGCAACAACTGAGCAANGAGAAGAGAGAAAGAATGGAGGAAGGGAGATGAAAGAAAGTGAGGAAGGAAGAAGGGAGGGAGAAAAAAAGGAAGAAGGAAGGAAGGAAGGAAGGAAGGAAGGAAGGAAGGAAGGAAGGAAGGAAGGAAGAACTGACTCATATTTATAGCTGTTGCTGTGTCCCCAGGTCACGTGATTCCCATTTGTGACCTTCTGACAAGCAAAGTCGATGGAGAAGCCATATTCACTTAACAACCATGTTACTAGCTTAACAACTGCAATGCTTCACTGAACAATAGTGGCGAGGAAGGTCCTAAAACAGGGCAAAACTCACTTAATAACAGGGTTCACTTGTGATTGTACGCCAAGGACTACCTGTACCAACAGTAGGTCAAGTGGACACTCCCTTGGAATAAATCCCACTGTAAATAACAAAATACTGGCATTAAACGTGGTGGCTCAGTGGCTAAGACACTGAGCTTGTCGATCATAAAAGTCGGCAGTTTGTCGGTTCAAATCCCTAGCACCATGTAACAGAGTGAGCTCCCATTACTTGTCCCAGCTTCTGCCAACCTAGCAGTTCAAAAGCATGAAAAAATGCAAGTAGAAAAATAGGAACCACCTTTGGTGGGAAGAGAACAGTGTTCCATGTGCCTTCAGCGTTGAGTCATGCTGGCCATATGACCACAGAGATGTCTTCGGACAGCGCTGGCTCTTCGGCTTAGAAACGGAGATGAGCACCGCCCCCTAGAGTCAGGAATGACTAGAACATATGTGCGAGGGCAACCTTTATCTTTAACTTTCATAGACTATCAGCTAGGACACCTGAAGCAGAGGATGCAACAGCTCAGATCCAACCTTTCTTTTTTTTTTTTTTTTAAGCCATCCAACTTTTGTCTAAGGGTCTGCAGTGCACCACTTTGAAAGGGTCGCCATTCACAAGGATAACAATGAGCTCATACCAGTGTTTTCCTGTAATTAAATCCAGGATAGTCGCGCTTACTCCTGGCACTGCTCTGCTGACCTACTCATAAATATTCCGCTAAGCCGCTGGGAATGCTATTGAAGTGCATCCTAAGATGCGGCTTGATTTGAGCATAACATATAAACTTCCTTGTCAGATGAGAGGGGGATGATGGCGAGGTGAGAAGGGCCGATACTCTTGACGGTAGTGGCACAATTGTGGGTCACCTTGCTGGAAATGTTGTTAAAGTGCAAACAGGGTGGCCTCTCATTGGATTAATAGGTGCTGTTGCAAGCACAGGAATGGCCTGAAATGAGATTTGATTGGATTAGGAAAAGACTAGATGAATGTGTTATATAGTCCATGAGAATTTGTTTCCCTGGATACCTTCTTTTCTCAACCAAGGCCAAATGATGTATTTTTATCAACATGTAACTCAACGTTTAATAGGTTCTGGTAGGAATAGTCAGGGCACAACAGGGCTGCACTAGATAGAATATATATTTTAAAGGTTGCTTATCCACAGAACTAAAGGACGCAGGGGCTCAGTGGCTAAGACGCCAAGCTTGTCGATCAGAAAGGTTGGCAGGTCGGCGGTTTGAATCCCTAGCACCGCGTAACAGAGGGAGCTCCCGTGACTTGTCCCAGCTTCTGCCAACCTAGCAGTTCAAAGGCATGTAAAAATGCAAGTAGAAAAATAGGAACCACCTTTGGTGGGAAGTTAATAGCATTTCGTGTGCCTTCGGCGTTTTAGTCATGCCAGCCACATGACCACGGAGATGTCTTCGGGCAGCGTTGGTTCTCCGGCTTTGAAACAGAGATGAGCACTGCACCCTAGAGGCGGGAATGACTAGCACATATCTGCAAGGGGATCGTTTACCTTATCCACAGAACTACCCCATCCCATTGTCTTATCAATAAAAGATAAAAGGTTTTTCCCTGTCCAATTGTGTTTGACTCTAGGGGGTGCTGCTCATCTCTGTATCTTAGCCGAGAGAGACAGCGTTGTCCAAACATGCTTCTGTGGTCATGTGGCCAGCATGACTCTATGATGAGGCACTCAGAAAGCTGTTATCTTCCCACCAAAGTGATACCTATTGATCTACTCCCATTTGCACGAACTGCTAGGTGGGCAGGAGCTGAGGCTCACCCAGTTGCACAGTGCTCAGGACTCAAGCCTGGTCTGTCAGCATTCCAGATGACAAGTTCAGCATCTTTAAATGCTGCACCATAGCGCCCCCTTCGCTCATCAATAAGCACCCACAACTTGAGTGTTCTACACAGTGCGCTATTCGGCATGGTGGTAATTAGTTTACCTAGCATTAGATGATTCTTGTTTGTTTTGGAAGTCTAAGTAATGTGGGGGGAAATATATATGCCCCATAATTGTCATCAGCTATCAGGATGGCCCAACCAGCTTCTTCCCAACCCTCTGCACTTCTCTGTGTGTTTATCCATAAATTTATGTCAGGGCTGGACTTCAAAAACTTCAGCAAGAATCATCTAATGCTAGGTAAACTAATTACCACCATGCCGAATAGCGCACTGTGTAGAACACTCAAGTTGTGGGTGCTTATTGATGAGCGAAGGGG